TAGAGCTAGTGGAAGCATTTTGGTCATGTTCCCATCACCTATCCATCCGCCACCTGTATGAATGTATGTATTTATGTGTGTGTGTTAGGTGGCTGCATGTATTTTGATCATCGACATCTATTGGTAAAAATAATTATGTTTCACTTTAATTGAAATTTTCATATACCGCACAAAAAAAATCGCATAAAAAAAATCGTACAAATAAAAAATTGCACAAAAAAGACTGTGGATAAATACACTTTCACTTTTTCAGCCTTGTATTTGACATAGTAAAAAGACCTTTTTATACTACGTTTCAATTAATTAAGGTAAAGTCGTATTTTTTTATAATGTTTAAAAAAAAATTCTAAAAAAGTCGTCCTATTTTAACAAAATTTTGCTTCAAATCTCTCCGACACTCCATTTAACAAAGCACTGGTATTATTTTATTTTGGTTTATGTCTTTGCTAGTTAAATTGAAATATAACTTCACACCCTTATCAATTGCACGACTTATTGGACGAAAAACTAGCTCAAACTCTCAAAAAACTTTCGAACAGCGTAGCAATTGGCGAATCCACGGCGAAAGAAGAGACAGTAACTATCATACGAATTAATTGAAAATGCCATTTGGGACCATTTCAACGTCACAATTTTATTGCTCGCTAAGCTGAAAAAAGGAGAGTTTTCTGTGGCAGAGTATTCTGACTGGCGACAAAGCGTGGATCTGCTAAAACAATCCCAAGCAAAAAAGTTTTGAGTTTGTCCAGGAGAGGCAACCACATCAACAACAAAACGGAATACTCATGGCCACGATGCAGTGGCTGTGCATATGATGGGATTAGGAAGGTGTAGTGTATTACGAAGTGTTAAAACCGAATAAAACTGTTACTGCAGATGTCTGCCGAAATGAATTGAGCAAATAGACCGATGTATTATTGCAAGACAGATCGGGAATAGTCGTCAGCAGACGTAAAATCCTTGTGCATGACAAAGACCGGCTGCACGTTGCAGGAATTATCGGGGTGGCACTGTTGCGGCTTTTGCGCCTTCGGTTCCATCACAAGACAAAGAGCCTTCTAATTACCACTTGCCCAGATCGATGAAGCATGACTTGACCGGTTTCGAAATGCTGAAAAAGTGTGAAAATGGGCCGCTGCCAAACCAATATCGTTCTTCCAACGCGGTATCGCTATATTGCCAGACGAATGAAAAACACTTGTAGAAAAATCATGGAAAATATTTTGATTAACATATATTTTACGAATTTTTCTCAGTAAATGCTTTTTTCAAGAGAATAATTGATCGTAATACATGCAAGAATCGATTGCATTAAGAGGAGAGTAGCTCGGAATTCCTTTTCTTCGCTTTGTTGTGTCAATACTATGTGAATATTTTTTCGACTCTCTCAATACAGTGATCATATTAAATGACTGCCATTTTCCGCCATTTTTATTATTGTCATTAACGTTGGAAATCGACATGGCAACTCTATCCCAAATTATATGTTTACATTTTAGGACATGTATGAAAAATATCTCTCAGACTATAATTTCCTGGACGTTCACAAAAGTGGGAGAAGAGAGCATGTTTGGGAAGAGTTACTTTGGCCCTTTAATGCGAAGAAAATTAGCACTGGAAAGCTGGAGGGCATCTCTATGCTATATGCTAATAACCTGAACAGTCAAACTTTACAAATTATATTCGAACTCTTAGTCCCTACATTCAAATATCGGAAACGTATCGTACGCCCTTTTTGCTTTTACATCCTACGAAAGCATCGCAGAAACCTTGCCGGCCGACAACGGTTAAAATACGATTCTATTACAACTTGAATGAAAAAAAAAAAGAATGATTTACCTTCATTTCCTTTCATACTACCATAAAATGCACTCTGCTGCATGTGTGTCCATGTGCATGTATTATGTAAAAAGTTCAAGGTTACGTTACTCAGTTGGCGTCTTTTCCCCTCTCCATCATCATAATCTATCTATCCTATCATACATACTTGCTTATGTTTTGCTTTTCTCTCTGTTTATTCTGTTTTTAAATCAACGTTGTATCACTGCTTCATCATGACCTTCGCACAAAATAATATTTTTAAACAAGAAGAAAAAAAAAAAAAACCAAAAAAATTTTGTAAAAAGTGAAATGATTTTAATCGATAAAACGGCCGTACATACATACTTACACACGCATAGAGAGGAACGGAAGGGTGGTGTAATGCTGCATATTATGTTGTAATATGAGACGAAAAATATAAATTCATTATTTCCATAACTAAGAAGCATTCTAATAAAATGCATCTCTGCATGTATGCGTATGTATTGCATTTATGTGGAAAATATGCCATAAATGCTCAAATCATATCTCGACGTTTGTAACAAGAATCACTTTGAGAAAATTTGATTTGTAATTCACTTCCGCTCAAAGTCATATATTTTTCTTTTGCATTGATGTTATGTTAAAGAAATTAAATAACTTAACGAAAAATGAAAGCCAAAATTAGGTTATGTCAATAAATTTTAAAAATAAATTTTTGAATTTGATTTTTAAAACTTTTGTGAAAGAGCCTTTGCGGGATGCTGGGGCCCCATGCTCAAAAGAAATATAAGAATACTAATGGAAATACCATTGCTGATATATTAATGGTCGTTCTCTGATTACTGTTGAACGACAAGTAGTATGTAGTCTGCCCGTGACAATGGCGTCAGATAAGCATATATAATATATTCATAATACACCCATAGCGGCCTCGGGCGGAATCTCATTTGACTAAAACTATCAAAACTTTGGTAAAAATAACCCTAAAAGGCGAATACGAATTTATTTAGCTTGTGTGAAAGATATTTTTCAGATAAATTCACGTGATATAGATAAATATCGTTTGAAAGATATTTTTCAGATAAATTCACGTGATATAGATAAATATCGTTTGAAAGATATTTTTCAGATAAATTCACGTGATATAGATAAATATCATTTGAAAGATATTTTTCAGATAAATTCACGTGATATAGATGAATATCGTTGGAATTGTTTTGGTATGGTATATACCAGAGTCTCTAACTTGACTATTTGCCCATAGTCGATGTGTGCTATCATAACAAATTTCAAAAAATTATTAAAAATAGTTCCAAAAAAGTTTGAAAAAATTTGAATATATTTAGCTTGTTTGAGTGATATTTTCATATAGAGAGACATTCACAATAATAATAGGTTAATGCATAATTATCAAGCGTTTCCAAATAGCATAAGTAACAAAGTTGTATTTGTCGTGTGCCGAAACTCGCTTACTCACCACTATGCTCTTCGTATTATAGTCGCCAAATTCTTCTATTTGATGCCCATATCGCTGGCATTACTGAAACAAAAAAAATTAATCCACTAAGCCGCTGTGTCTACCGTATCCATTTTTGGGCGGATAATATCGCTCCATTTCAAAAATATACAAAATAGTTTTAAGCATTCAGTCGTGTTTGCCTTATGATAAAAATTCGCATAAAGCCTCAAAGTGAAAAAAAAAAAAAATTCAATTAATTGTACCTTTGTGCGGGCATGGGCGATTTTTCAATTTTTGCACTTAAAGGCTAAAGTATCTAGTGAAGTAAATGTGGAAAATTTTAGCTTTCGAACTAAAGTAAAGAGCAAAAGCTCACAAATTTTTGTTAAGAAATACGGGGCTGCGTTCAGTTTACTTTCCACTACGGGCTTCTTCTCTGATCAATTTGGTCCATTGTCCATAACAACCTGCGCGCCAAAAAACATCCAAATTTGAAGTCAATATTTTTATTTTTGCGACCGGGAGGGTGCCAACAACAAACACCACACAGACGGACAGACATGACCTAATTCAGAATTTCATGCTGATCACGCATACATATATTCTATACGGTCCGTTAAGCTTCCTTTTGTGTATTACATACATTATGAAAAAAAAAAAGAAAATGAGTATAAGGCCAGCCTTCAGTAGTGGGGTATAAAAATATGTCTTCTCAAATTGCTCATACAAATCGCATATAAAATCATCGTTGTCGCAAGTAACCACGTATTGGAAGCCATGCCCAGAAAGATAAAGGCTAGTACTAGCAAACATAAACTGCCTACAATGTGATTTTTCACCTTTGACTCTGGGGGTTTTCTAATCTGAACCGAAGTAGGTTTCCAAATCCAACTATATTATAATTCGAAGTGTGTAACAGAGCCTTGTTAAGGCGTTTGCACAGCTCTCTTAAGGATACGATAGGTGTCTTTCCTAGTTAGATTCGAATTTATCTTCACACTCTTATTTTATTCATACTTTAAAAATTTTTGCAAAAAAATAATAATGAAATTCTTATGACATATTTAAGAGACAAAAATCACAAAAAAGAAAATAAAAAAAATTAAAAAAAAGGGGAAATTGCATATGTGTAGCATATAAAAATCAATTTCGCAACTATTCACCTCTGCTACTTGATAAAATGTCATCGCTTAGGAGATGAAACAACTAATGCATCTAAGTATCATAACGGAGATGCTTTAATGCAAGAGAAAATTTTATCTTCGAAACATGTTTTTTTAGACTTACATAAAAGCATTAAATTTTTGCCTAGGGAATAACACTCTACATGCCACAGGTGCAATTTCAAGCGGCATCAAAAGAGAGCAGTAGAGCAGTAGAGCAGAGTAGATAGTAATAAATTCAAAGACATATCAATGTTCCTCAGTTGATGTTGATTTTCGAAATGATTGTTTTAACGCATCGCTATGACATAAGATTTAATTTAAGCGCGTATTTACGCCAACAACATCTGGAACAGATGTGTATATCGTATCATCACATATTTATGTGTGTGATACGTGGTCATTAAACTATTTAAACAAAATCCAACATAAAAATATTCATTTTACTTAAATACATCTATGAATGCGAAACAGTCGGACGCATTCGCTAATCGTTTATTTGTATTTGTGTGTATATATTTCAAAATTTGGTTTAAACTAGAAAATAATTTCGCATAAATGTTTATCTACTTCAGGATGTACCAATTAAACGTACCGACTCATCGCAATGGTGGGAATTATTTGATACAAATACGCAACGTTTCTATTACTATAATGCTGCCTCACAAAAGACCGTCTGGCATCGGCCGATGAAATGTGACATCATACCATTAGCAAAATTGCAAACACTCAAACAGAATACAGATCCAAGCGATCGACGTGAAAGCAGTACACAAACGCAACATCAATTATTGTATCAACAGCAATTGCAACATCATGCACAACAACAACAGCAGCACCAGCACCAACAACAACAACAACCGCAACAATCGTCGCAACACTCATCACCGTCGATGCCGAAAATACGCTCCACATCGCAACGCAATAGCGGTGGCAGTGGTAGCGCAAGCTCTCAACATTTAACGCACAGTCATCTAACGAATACAACGGGTAGCGGTGGCAGTGGCAGCAGCAGTGTTGGTGTCATTAATAAGCGTGGTAGTGCTGGACTGCCGTTGTATGCTAGCTCAGAGGAAAAACTTGTAACCGATATATTGTCTAGTCCACGTGGGCGTCAAAGTTTTCGGTAAGTTGATATATTTAATTAATATGCTGCTGGTTTTACCCCCCTCTCTATCTCTCTCTTTTCTTCTTTGTCTCTATTTATCTACCTCCGGTTTATCATATCACTTGTATTAAACCCGTATGAAATTTTTATGTAAAACTTGACGACGCTACATGAATATAATAAATAAACAAAATCAAGTTACTATCACTATCACCTCGTAAGAGCATAACACTAATAAGATTCGCTTGTAACATTTACAAGGAGACATTTGCTAGCCTCGTTGTGGACTATAAAAATTTATTCACTTCTTTTTAGTGAGAAAGTTAATAAAATATATTCTTCAACGAAGTACCGAAAAGTACTCTTTGCAAGGGCTTGTAAAGCAGACATTGTAATGAAAACGTAAGGAACTGACATAATTTCGAAAAAATCGAAAATTTTATTAAAATCTTATCAATTAGCTCACCAGATACACGGTCTAAATGAAAAAGCGGTGAATTTGAGGTACCTATGTCCCTACGTCCGTTGCTTATTACCATTCTAAATGTCACAAGTTTTAAAATAGAAAGTTCTAACTTGGGCCATAAATGTTTAGCTATAGCTATTAAGGGCCAATAGCTCTTAAGGGCTAATAGTTCTCGCCCCAAAGGAATGAAAAGCAGCAAAGTTTTAATGCATTTTTAAAAGCCTGCAAAGTTTAGCACCCATATAAGATCTTAACCAATAGTAGTTGACTTTCAAATTATGTGCGTCCTTACGTCCGTTTCAAGTTTCAAGTCTTTAAGTCACAAATATTGTAAGAAGACATGGAATTATGTGGGTCTATGCGTCCGTTATTTATTCCAAGTCTACAATTCATAAATTTTGGGACAAAAAATTATCATTGGAGATATAAAAACAACTGATTGCATTAAGGCAATAATCTCCATAAAAAATGATTATGAAAAATGAACTTGAAATTTTTCTGCTTAACCGTACAAGACGATTCGATTGTTGGGTATCCAAAATACCATTTAAGACTTTATGAATTAAACCATGTCTTGCAGTTCGTCCCGTGGGCGCTTTAAAATAGTTATCTAATGCGCTAAATATATTGAAGATATGTCTTAAGCAGAATATAAATTTTATGTTTGTTATACCGATCACCAAAGGATGAGGGGGTATATTGATTTTGTCAAAACGTTTGCAACGCTCAGAAGGAAGCATCAGAGAGCCCACAAAGTATATATATCTTGTTGATCAGCATCGAATTTTAAATCGATTTAAGCATGTCCGTCTGTCCGTCTGTGTAATGAAGTCATTGACTTCAAATTTTCAAAAGAATTTGGAATTGAATTAAACTTTTCAAAGGAAACGCCTACAACGCCCACATATCTCTACGACAAAAACTTTTATTTAGAAAATAGAAGAAATCGACTGCGCCCACTCCATATTAAAGAACATGAGAATTTTATTCTTTTACTCCTTTTGTCTTTTTTTTTTGGGTTAAACGGCGACGGGGTATAAAAGATTCGCTCGCCACCGAATTTATTTTTCTTGCTTGTGTATTATTGTTTTTGGTTTTCTGGTTAATTTGAAAATTATTTTTATTTATTTTTTTCTGTTCACTGGTAATCTATGTTTTGCGAGACGGTTTACTTTATGCTTAGAATGTAAGTAAATTGTATATCTTCAGGGCACTTCGGTTTCGTATCATTTATTTTCTTCTTTGTTTCTTCTTTATATCTTTATATCTACTTTGCTTGTCATTCTATATTATATTTCTTCTTCTTATTCACGTATCCATTCTGCCTTTGAATTTTAGCATTGGCGCTGGTGATTCATCGCGTTCCATGGATATGCAGCAATACTCTTCGTCATCGAGACGATCGAAAGGTACGTATATATATGCATATATTTATTTACTGGTTGGTTATTTTTGTAGTTGTCTTCTTTCTAAATCGAGCATTTTATGCTGATTATGGTTGATTTTATTTTCTTCTTTTTGTACTAATCTTTATATATATATATTACTTCGTGGAAGTTGAAAGTTGAAACTTGTAAAAATAAGCATTTTTTAGAAAAAAAATCCATTAATAGTAACAAAGAAGTACAGTTAGAAATCGAAGTTGTATTCTATTTAAAAAAAAAAAAAAAAAAAATCGTTAAGCATAACCAATAAAATAATTACATCTGTATGTGCATTTAATTTTTGGTCAAATTTCATTTAGCATAACAAATGATGAAGGTACGTACAAACAAGTCAGAACATTATAGTCGGGCGAGGCCGACCATTAGGCCGACCCTACACAAAAGTAATACGAATAATACTAATCTATACATTAGTTTTGGTAACAATAATACCAACCAAAAATTAAACATTGTTTTCATGCGAAATTTTATGAAAGCCGCCCGATTGAAGGATGGCCGAAACATCACAAGATGCCATCGAAAAATTGCAAACTTAAGTTACTCTTTAAAAAATGTTATTATATAAAAAAGTAGAAATTCGATTTTTGCTCTCCATATGAGCGCTTGCTTCTCATGATAACCCCAATATATGTTGTTAGGGTGTAAAAAAAAAAATAGTCCTATGTGATCCAAATTCCTTACGGTTAATTTTTACTATTACGGACAAATTTTCATTATAAATAGCTAGAAAGGGCTTACTATTCATAAAAAGTATATTATATGGATTGGGTTCCGAAAAAATAGACCCACATACACTCTACTGAATTTTTATGTCAAACAAATTTTCATCATGTTTTACATTAACGAATAAGCCTATTTGGCATATATTTTGGAAAATTTTTTTATGTCAATAATTATATTAAATGCAGTAGTAGTAAATTCAGTGACGGAAGTGTTCCGCTATAGTGCTTTGTTATTTGGTTTTTCTTTATTCTTCTTTACAAAATTCGTAATACTTAGGAAAAGATTTAATTGTAAGAGTCAATTAAATAAAGAGATAATACGATTGAATCATTAACTGAATTGAGGGAAAGCACCGTTTCCCACATTCAGCATAAAACTCGGCTCCCTAAAGCAGAATAGCTTGTACTAATTAGTGAAGACTTTAAGTTTACACTCTTACATAAAGAAGATGAAATTTGACAAACGATTATGATAGTAGCAAAGTAAAGCTATTCCTTTGGAAATATCGATAAATACTTGTTTATACATCTTACTTTACATCCGCCACATGGATGAAATATTATTACGAAGATTCAAGTAAATCGAAAAAGGAATAGCACACAATTCTCTCTCTTTACATTTTTTTTTTTAACAAAAGTTAAAAAGAAAAATCATTTTTTGCACGTTTTTTTTTATTTTAACACGATTTTCAATATTCTACGATTTTTTTTTTTATAAATGCTTTTAATGAATTTTTCTGATGAATATTTATCTTCTTTTTTTTTTTTTTTTGTCTGATGTTTCTATGAATTTTTCATATTCACAAACACGCATTGCAGCTTCGCGTTATACTTTTCACAATTCAGTTAGATGCGTATACGGATTATGCACAAAGTAAAGGCGTACTGTACTTTTTACGCAATTTAGCTTGGTTTCTCAAAGCATAATTTATTATACCCTACACCGCTTGTAGTGCAGTGTATATGAAGTTAGTGCAGTCGTATATAACACGCAGAAGGGCTTAAGATAGATGCACCTTCTATTATACCGATCGATTCAGAATTATAATCTGAATTGATCTAACCCTCTCTGTCCACTTGTCTATCTGATGCCTTGTAATGATGTCCATGTAAATTTGTGTCCAAGATGCAGATCGCAATTGTACAGATATTTTGATGGAATTTGGTACACAGTGGTACTTTGGCCCAAGCGCAAACACTATGGCAAATAGTTCGGATCGGTCCACTGAAAAGTCATTATATGGAAAAAATTGCAATTTTCAAATTTCTCAGAAAAAGTGGGACCTGTCGTGTAAAAAGGGAATTGGGTATTTTCCACTTACACTATATAATTTGCTAAATATTTGAAATAATCATTCAACGCATAGTTGCTTTTTCTTAGTCTGAAGCGTTTCTACTATTTTCTTATTTAGCCAATATCTTTTTTTGCAGTGAGTTTTTGGGGCGCGTGTCTATTGTTTAAGAAGAGAATTGGGTGTATTCTATTCAGACGATAAAATATTTAAAGTAGGCCTTCAATACATTTTGAGATTGGATAAGTAAGTCGACTTATAAAGAACTGTATCTGGGAAAAGATCTTATTCGTAAAATTTCTCTTATCATTCGGCTTAGATTAAGTCGGAAAATCGGTCCGGTTGTTTTTAACCAAAACCATTCAAAAAATTTGTCAGTCCGTCTATCCTTTTTTCTATGTTATGAAGTTTGAGTCTACAGCTTTAAGTTGGATTACAATTTATTTTTTATCTAAGTTAGGGTATGTAACGATCGTCTTTTAGCTGAGCAGTTACAAAATGCCACCAAATCGTATAAAATTTTTATTTAGAATTTACATAAGATATGCGATAAGTACAGTGTGATTCATAAGACAAACATTCGATCTATATCGGCCTATGGTAAACGAATGTTTGTATAAAGCGCATTTTTTCCAAAACCAAGTTCAATATAATCGTTATTCCTGATCATTATACACATTAGCGACTTCTGTTACTTTGTTGTTTTAATTAAAAGCTTTGCTGTTATTTTACAATTGTAATAATTATATATATTTTTTTGTTAATTTTAGATTCCTGCAATCATTATAAAGAATCAGGTAAATCAAGTGATTCCAGTTTGTCAAGCATACATGGTTATCGTCGATTCAATGATGAACTCATAGGCGGCAATAATGTGGCAACAGTCCAGGGACCGAATAATGAAAGTTTACGTTTGGGTTCATTGCAAAAACATCGTAGTCGTAAAGAGGGCAACAGTGCTGGCAGGTAGACGTTCTTTTATAGGGTACATATGCATATATGAAAACTAAAAAAAATTACACATCATTTCCGCATAGCTTTGATATGCTGCAAGAGAACATTACTGGTTATGATCATCAATTGAAAGCAGCTCATCGTCAGCATATGTCAGCTGAGCATAATTCACCGACCATGCAGCAGCATCATCACACACCTCAACCAAAGAAGAAGATGTCACCGGATGCCGGTCAACAACAGCAACACCATCACCTACAGCACATACAACAATTTTCCCCTTATAATGCGCAGCAGCGTAATTTGGTTGGCATTAGCTTAGCTGGCAGTAAATCATCATCCGCAACACGACAGGCCATGGAATACGGAGGAACAGGTTGGATTGCTAAAAATAAATAAATAAATAAATATATAAAAATTCAAAGTGATATTTAAGGAAAATTGTTTTTCAATTGTTCTCATTTTTTTCACATTTAGAACGTGAACGCGATTATAAAGTCGTATTGGCACGTTCCGGCAGTTTTATGTCGTCCTCCATTAATCCGGCTGCAGCGGGGCACCATAGTAAATCATATCGTAAATCTGCTACCGAGGCTAATGGCAGCGTTGTTGGAAGTTCGCCTGGTGGCGGTAATAATGGCAATGGCGGAGCGGCTAGTGATGATTCCATGCATGAGAAATATTTCAAATCAGTGGAAAATACGCCGCTGTCACGCCGTCGCCATACTACCACAGCCAAGTGCTCCAGTGGTGCGGCTAGTGCCAGCAGTGGGCATGGTACTGGCGGTAGTGCTGGCAGTAATATGAAACACTCCAGCGATTCTTCGCCTCAAAGTCCCATTAGTCCCCATAGCAATAAAAGTAAACCGCTGAAAGGTACAACATCCACAACTGCTTTATTTACTGAACAACGAAGTAGCGGCGGTGGTGGTTGTGGTAGCGGTAGTGGTAGCAATGTCAATGTTGCTCCGTCAGCAATACTGCACTCTCCGGGTGGACATTCCATTACAGTCACTTCAACATCTAGTCATACTCATTATAAACAGGATGCCAGTTGCAATTTGGAGCTTCTCAATTTAGATCGTTTGTCATTAAGCAGTCGAGGTGGTGGTGAATGTGGCAAACCGTCTTCGCCGCATTTAAGTGATATTACAACAGCCGGCGTAATATCAACGCCAAATAATTTAATATCAAAAAATTTCCCCTCTTCGGATAATATCGGCATGATGACGCATTCTTCACGTGGCTCAAATGATTCGCGAGGCAAGCACAAACTAACCGGCAGCGGTTCATGGTCGCAACAGCAACAACAACAGCACAACATCGGTCATCATCAACAATCAACAGTACAAGATAATAGCAGATCTGTGCGTTACAAAACTGCAAATCTGGTAAGAGCGGATAGCATTAAGATGGAGAAACTAGATAGATAAGTAGATAGATAAGAGAGAAGATATGATGAAGTGACAATTTGTCGCCTTAATGAGGAGATTACAGATTAAGGAATAGAGAATTATAAGGTAAAGAAATAAGTGAACGGGTATAGTGAAGAGAGAGGAAAAGAAGGGAAGAGGAGAAGGTGCAAAAAGTAAATAAAAGAAAAGAGGGGAGAAAAACGGAAAAACTAATAAGATGATCAAAAAGAAATAGATAGAACACAAGAACAGAAAAAAAGCGAAAGCGAGGAAAAGTAGATACAATGAAAATTGACAGAAGGGCAATAAAAAATTCGGAAACCAAGTGAAGAAAAGATTTATTCAATATTTTGCAAATTTTTTTTGTTCTAACGTATTCGTTAATGATTTTCAGGATAAACATGGTCATCACTCGAATGAATTTTATACAGACGGTCAGCGGAAATCATCGCGTAAAACGCGAGATCATCATCACTTGTATGCCGACAATAGCGATGTAGAATACGACAACGGCAATATTTCACCTTTGTACAGCAACTGGGATACGGTAAAAAAAACAACAACAATATTAAAAATTTAATTTAATTTCGAGAATAACTTATTATTTGCTCAATTGTTAGGAAATGCAAGAACATCTGTTGCCCCTAAAACATTATATACTGGAGCAAGCTAAACTCTCCGGACGCTATGTGTTTGGTGATCCCATTGATTCCGATTCATATCATTCTGACAGTCAATCGGAACATTCATTATCTGGTCACGAGCCAGATAACGAAGATTCGGACGGCGGTTCAGATACCCATGGCGGTTATTTAGAGCACAATTATGGTATGATCGAAGACTATGCTAATATGGGTGATAGTGTATCTTATTATGCGTATCAGTATCCACCTTATGACGCTTTAGATCGAGAGGACATTATGTAGGTAGTCAGGACAAAAAAAAAACTTTTATTTTTTAAATGTTTTTTTTTTTTTGGTAAATTTTAGCTCGGATAATGTTGAAGCAGTTTTGGAAGGCATGGGTCCGGCCCCAGTTAGAGAAGCATCGGCTAGCCAAAAGTCGAATAATAAGCCACGTTGCCAGATCTCATTTTATGATACGGCCGTTACCAATAGTGCTGCACGTGTCCAAACTACTAACCAAAAGCAGCAACAGCATCAGCAAAACCAGCAACAACAATTGTATACGAACGCACCAATTTTACCACCAAGTCATACTCAACATCAGCAGCAGCAATTGCAAGTTGACGGCGGTGATAAAGCACAGAAACAATCGCAAACGTTACCGTCACCGAATCGCCAAATATCACGCTTAGCTCAAAACTCTACAAATAACGTTGACTCGGGGACGGGCATGGTTAGCGTACGTTTACCAATGCCTGGTCCGCACTATACTAAAGAAGAAAATGTAAATAGTGACAGTGGTGGAGTCAATGTTGCTCGGCGTCCTTTACCTCCTCCTAATCTCAAGCCAACCATACAACAAATCTTTCCACCTGCTGAACGTGCTCCACCGAATATTGCTACCACTCTGGCGTGCATGAAAGAATGTGATATTGAAAAATTTGCTGCAGACAATTTGAACCTTCATTCGAAGGGTATTTTTCGTAAGAAGGTAAAGTTACCTCTAAAACTGTAAATCAAAGTTTTATTTGTTTCCAACTGGCCTATGTTGCAATTATAGGAATCGATTATAACCTCAATTTTTTTCGCCACATTTAATATAACTTTTCGCATGAATGCATGGATTTTTCCTTGGAAGTTATGCAAAAACGCAAGACATTGTTGCACGAGTAAGTTCTCAGTGTTTTTTGGGTGCCAAATGCAAGAGAGCAAAAAAAAAAGTGAAAGATACTTACGCTTGAGACAACTTAGCTGCACGCGAAGTCATATGATTTCTGAGATTCTATTATTAATCTGTGGTTGCGGTCTTTGTCTGCTATGAGAAAAAAATTGTAGTTTTTACCAAGTTGTGAATTGATTATCAATACCTTTTGCTTATAGCTGGTCAAATTCTCTTCAAACTTTCCCTGATAATGTCCTTTTTTTTAACCAAAGGTTAATTATAAATATTTCGAAGAGAAGACTAAGCCAACTTTACCATTGCAAAGGCGTAGTAGAACAAGCTCTATTCTATTAGGCTATTCGATTGAACGCGTAAAATACAAGTTGAAACTAAGCGACTAATCATAAATTGTTTATCTTATACTCTAGTCTTCCGTACGCGATATGTTAAGTTGGACTTCGGAGGCTATCAGCCGTCCAATGCTGGCTTTGTCACGTGATAAAAATGATAAGAAAATTGCCATTGAATTATTTAAGTTGGTCCAAATTTATATGGGAGATCGTAAAGCGAGAGCAGGCATGAGTCTAAATTCGGTAGCCATTGACGTTATAACAGCAGCATTGCCACAACAACAGTAAGTTTCTACATCGCTTGTGACAATAACATTAATTCTCTACAAATCCTTAGATTACGTGATGAACTGTATGTGCAGTTATGTCGTCAAACTACTGAGAATCCTAAACGTGAATCGTTAATACGTGGCTGGGAATTAATGGCGATTTGTTTATCATTTGTACCACCGTCGCCCACATTCCAGCCAACTTTATTGAAGTAATTTTATCAATAGTATCAGTTTACAATGGTCGTTTAATGTTTTTCTTTCTGTTTGGTAATTTTTTCATAGCTATGTCAATCGGCATCGGGATCCTACGTTTGCTACCTCTTTTCCGGAGGTTGGCAAATGGCCTATACATGTGCAAATTTCTCATTACGCTACCGTATGTTGTAGACGTTTGGATCGTATAGGCAGTACGGGACGACGGCAGGCTAAAAAGCCCACCGAAGATGAGGTTGAACAAGCCAGGGTATACATCAATTTTTCAATAATTCTATCTTAAAATAATGTATTGCCCTCGATTACAGAATCAAATTTTGCGAAACAGCATGTTTGGCAATACGTTGGGCGAAGTTATGGATTTGCAAAAGGATAAATTTCCATTTCGTAAATTGCCATGGATACAAACTACTCTATCTGAGCATGTAAGAAAGAGACGAAATAAATATTTTCTATGCGCAATCAATCATTAATCAATGTTGTATATGTTGTAGGTTCTCATGCTTAATGGTAAACAAACGGAAGGTATATTTCGGGTTTCAGCTGATGTTGATGAAGTGAATTCGTTAAAGAATCGTTTAGATCGGTGGGAAGTTCCTGATTATAAAAATGCCATGGGTGCCTATAGCTACAGATGTTTACATGTTAAGCTTTTGCATTAAGTTTTACGTCTTTTTTTCTCTCATTCCAGATGCTCATGCACCTGCTAGTCTATTAAAATTATGGTATCGTGAACTTTATGATCCTTTAATACCTGATGAATTGTATGAGGAATGTGTAAATACCGAAGATGCGGATAAAGCAAAAGCTATTGTCGATAAATTACCCCAACTAAATAAATTAGTAAGTGTGGGCCAAGTAAGCGAGTTTTATTTAATATTATCTCGTAAAGTTCTATCAAACCAATCAGTTAGAACGAATTAACCTCTAGTAAATTCATGCAAATGCAATATTAAAAAAAAAAAAAAACAAGTAAAAAAGTTATATTCGGCGGGGGCCGAAACTCGCATAACCATACTTATGTTTTTCGCATTCCACTCTCCGTACTCTTTTATTTGATACCCATATCGCTGGTATTATTAAGGAAAAATTAATCGCGCTGTCTACCATATCTATTAATTTAAAATGACTCCAATTTTAGGCAGATAACATATCGTCAATTTAGAAGTTTACAAAATAGTTTTAAACTTTCGGTCTTGTTTGCGTTATGATAAATAAGCATAAAATCTCAAAAAAGTAAAACAAAAGCAAAATTTAATCACTTGTAACTTTGTGTCGGCATAGGTTATGTTTTCCATTTTTGGGCGGAAATAGTAGAGTGATTCGTAAAGTGAATGTGGAAATTATTAACCTTCTCACTTTTACACTTTCCGAGTAAAATGAGCAAAAATTCACAAATTTTTATTAAAAAAGCTGAGTTGCGTTCAGCTTACGCTCTACTACCGGCTTCTCCTCTGAGCAATTTGGTCCATTTTCAATACCAACCTGCGTGCAAAAACTTCCAATGTTCCCACCAAATTTGTATTCGATATCTTTATTTATGCAACCAGGAAAGTGCCAACAACAAACAGACGGACAGACGGATAGACATAGCTAAATCAACTCAGAAGAAGCTTCCTTACATACATGCATTATGAAAAAAAGATGAAAGGAGTATACCTCCATTTTACAGTGATGGGTATAAAAAAGAAAAGGTAAACATGAACATAGGTATAATTTTTTCGCAAGAGCCCTTTCAAATATTCAAATGGTATGTTATGACAAGACTATGCACCACTTGTGGTACAGGATGCATTAAGTTCGTGTGGACATATGAACAGGTCAGAGAGGCTTCAGTTGGACGCATCTTTTATTATACCGATCAATTCAGAATCATTTTCGAATTGATCTAAGCTTGTCTGTCGAGTTAAATGTGTATTCAACCTGCGGGTCGCGAATTTTTGAGGTTTTTTGATGAAATTCGTTACGGTTACGTGCTTTGACTCAGGAAAGGTGCAGACAATGGCTCGGATCGTTTCAGTTTTTTGGCCACTCCTCATATAATAACTTTTCAAAATCAGAAAAAGAAACTGAAATTTTCAAAATTTTGCGACAAAACACAATTAGTAATAAGTGCTTCGGCATTCCAAATTAGTACGAAAAATTTCCTTCGGTTGAAGCAATTTTTTGAATCTCTTGTCATATAATCATTTTTACGAAAACTGAATCTTTATATGGTAAAAAGATAAGTAATTTTTAACGTTTCCTGCTGAAAATTGGTTAATAATTGTAAATTTATAAAGAAGTCCACTTTGCCGAATTTGGACTACGTAGGTCTATTTTTAGGATAGGTTCTCAGAATTATATGCCATAGAGGCCTAAATTGTTAATATTTTATGACGAAAATTTGTTCATGATAGTAATTTGTATTGAAAATTGAGCGGAGCAAATTTAAAAAACACATGAGTCCATTTCTTGGATCCCACTGTATAAAAAATTTCTCATGAATAATAAGCCTTTCAGAAAAAGTTTTAATTTTTAATATACTATAATGAAACGTGGCCCATAGGGAATTTGGATCACGTAGGTCTCTTTTTTAGACCGTAACGTATATAGAGGTTATCATGGATATCAAAACCTTACATGAAGAGAAAGCCTATTTTTCTAGGTGTTTTAAGATAGACAGTGAAATATAGAACAATTTTTGGAAAGCCGATTAAGTCTGCTAGATTTCAATCATGTCGTGAGTTGTTTTGGCCATCCTCCTATATGCGCCCTTTCATGGACGTGATGTAGGGAATCTGATGGTAACTAGGTTCGCCTTGTATGACTGTAATGTTTTTACTCTATTTTTTTTTTTCTTTGTGATATATTTTACAGGTCTTAACTTATCTAATACATTTTCTCCAACAATTCTCGCATCCGGATGTTGTTAGTGCTACGAAAATGGATTCTTCCAACTTAGCCATGGTATTTGCACCAAATTGTTTGCGTTGCACGTCCGATGATCCCAAAGTGATATTAGAGAATGCACGCAAGGAAATGTCTTTTATGCGCACACTAATACAACATATGGATACAGCCCATGTCGTTAATCTTGTATGAAGCTTGAAAAATCGTACATCATCTCCATAAAGAGCTGCAACCAAAAAAAAAAAAGAAAAAAAAACATTTAATGGAAAATAAGAACATTTCTGAAAATCTCTTAAATAAAATAAACATAATCTCAGCTTAAATATGAAACAATAATAAGAAGAACAGCAACAAACAAAATTCTAAACAAGAAATAAAATTTATTTACATGCTTCAAAATTCCAACATAACACACACACACACACACACCCACACACACAAAAATATTTATACACACATACCTACGTATGTCAAGATAGAGATTAGAGGCAATGACTTGAAGAAGAAAGGGAAAAAAATGTATTAAGCCAGAGAGAGAGAGTTAATGGTATATATTTATCTTAAAAACAAAAGAAAAAAAAGACTTATCTATCAATTTTTCTGTCACACAAAATAATCTTTCTCTAATTATATTAATTAAATTATGCATATATTTTTAAAGTTTATATTTTATGATTATATAAGAAATGTGCTTGATTTTATTACATTTATAATGAGATTTCAATTAATTTGAAAAATCCTTTTAAAAGCTCTTTGTAATTATATATATTACTCTTATTTATATATATATACAAACATATATATGTATATAAAATTCTTCGCTTTGCTCAACTCTCCCTGTTGTTTGTTTGTTTGTTTGTTTGTCCTCAAAACATGTTCAGATTTTTTTCAATAATCTTTTAAATGCTCTCTATATAGTCGATGATAGAGAAAGACAGAGATAGAGAGAGAGAGAGAGAGAGAGAGAGAGAGAGCAAGGGTATCAAAACAGGACATGTATATCAAAAAGAACGAACAATCGAAGAAATTCTTTATTATAATATTTATAAAAGAGCTGAACACAATGAATCATACAATCATGCATAAAATATGATATGACTTTTATGTGTTAATATGTAGCCTTGCATTGCATTTTTTACGCTGCAGGTAAAAGTTATATTAAAAAGAATATTTTGATATTTAGATTGATGCGTTTAGATGGACGCCGCAAAAGTGGGCATTCATTGTGTTAAAGCGCTTAATACAGTTATAGTGTTGACAAATCTAGTTACCTATAGAAGAAGATGCATAGATGCGTACTCAAAACAAATCAAATAAATGAAAACAATTATAGTCAATAACTTTAAAATTAAATTATTACAAAAAACAAATAAAAAAAAAAAAAACTGAAATTTAAAAAGATAAAAAGAAAAACAATATATGAAAATAGATGCTAAAGAAAAATGAAAACAAATCGTCTTTGTCTTCATAAAAACGATATAAACAAAAGTTTTATTTTCGTCCTTGTTTTTAATAAATAGGAATGTGTGTGCTTGTGTATATACGTTTTTTTGGAAAACCATCGACAGGCGCAGTACGAAGACTTTAACCGATTAAAAGCTACCTATACTACTATCGCTTACCCTGTGGCACGATCTCTCACGATCGTTTAGGTATACTTTGACAGGGAGGATGACTATCTGGTTCCTACCTAAGAACCTACGTTGACACTCCTTTCTTTCTTTGTTTTCTGCCTTCCACATTTTCGGATCGTGTAACATTTTTGTCACGAGATTATGGTGGGGAGGGGAGGGAAATCTCTGATTTCCGTCTGCTTCTTTCACTTTCTGTCTCTCGTTCGTTATGGTATTTAGGACAGAGAACAAAGACAAAGAACACGTATTCAGCGTTTTCGATGTAGTCGCAGAAACTACAAAATGGGCCCTCTATTTTAAACCGATGTAAATACGCTTTGAGATAATCATGGTCGAGTATTAATTGTGTTAAATAGAGGTCAACCTCGTCATGCTGCCTATTAAACAAGAGCCGAAAATCTGGTATGAGTCAGGGTAAATGGATGCAAGCTTTACCTGGGCTTTTTAAGGCCGCAGGTCGATTGGTATTATAGCAGCGATAACGAATGTTGCATCTTCCGACACCATACGGTATGCGCAGAGCCGCTATGCTCTTGTGTATGACGGTATATCGAGCGCTTTTTTAGAAACGGAAAAGCTTTACAGTATCGTCGCAGCTACCACTTCTGCCGTCAGTTTGCTACGGTCTTGCCTAGGGCCCCGCAAGTTTCGTAGTAAGTGCGACAACGACTTTGGTATTTCCGCTGGCTTTTCGTCCTTTTTCTGTTTCGTAACCAAGTTTCCCGCCAGTAAGGTAGGCAGTGGCTAATAAGGTGGGATAGGACTCTTCTTTCCTGTAGGGCAGCTTTGATTAGGCTGTGTGTTTGTGCGTGTGTGTATGTCTGGGTAGCGATATCAAACGCCATGGGTTATGCCTACCTCAACTACCGACTCAACTGGGCACTTTTCCAATATAAGGGGTGTTTATACCCTATATTAGTTAGCACGGGCGTATGTAACACGCATAAGGCATTGAGATAGACCCATCTTTTATTATACCACTCCATTTCGAGTCAAGATCCGAACTAATAAATAAGCTTATCTGTCCGTTTAAATGTCTGTCCATGTAAATTTGTGTTCAGGCTACAGCTCGCAATTGTTGAGACATTTTGTTGAAATTTCTTACAGTGACATGTTTTGATCCAAGGACAAAAGCTGTTGAAAATGGCTCGGATCGGTCCACTCCCCACATAACGCCCTGTTCGGAAAACTCAATATACGCAAAAAATCACAATTTTCAGAATTTCTTAGTAAAAGTGATAGTATTTCGCTCAAGTTATCAAAGACGTTTTAATATGATGACTATCGGTCGACTCACAAATGGTTGACTGTTTGACAGCTTACACGGCAAATGGCAATTTTGACCTTTGCTTATTTTATATTTGTGGATCATTTAAAGCAACTTGTCTTGAGTTTAAAAAGCATTTTAATGAAGTCCTAATCCCCCCTTACACCCCTTACACCTTTGAAACACAAGGTGAATTCATCCAATTGAAAAGTACTTGAAAAATTTGAATTAACAAATTATTTGCAATAAATAAGAAAATAATGTAAAATAGAAATTAAACAAATTTTATTAACAAAAAAAGCATACGTAGCCTTAAATGGAATCGATTCCGGCCCATAATTCACAACATACAAAATTTAAAAGTCAGACAAAGTCTTTTTCAGATTTTATTTTGTTTTTTTTTTCTTTTGTAAGAAAACCAGAATAAGAATAAATTTTTTCGCTGCTCATACAGAAGGAAGAAAAACGGCTCTATTAGCTTCACTCATATGGGAAATGATCTCATACAAGTCATGGAACGTATTTTCACTTCATCAATTTTTTTCTTCATTTATTCGATGAATTATTGTTGTTATTGTTGTTGCTTTTTTTTGTTCTCCAAATTTCTAGATGATATTATTTTCAATCTATATCTCATTAGTTCATCGGATGATATGGTACTGTAAGAATATTTCAATTGATTGAATCTACGCCATTTGGCGCGACGATTTTGAAACCACGTCTTCACTTGACGATCGCTCAGTTTCAATTGCATTGCCAAATGTCGACGTTCCTCCGGTGTTAAATACTTAGCATTGGCAAAAAAATATTCCAATTGTTTAGTCTGCTCGAAGCTAAACCGTATCTGCCCCCCTTTACGTTTAATACGGGAATCAATGAAATTGTAATAATTCGTAGCATTATATGCATTAGTGCACAGCATCTGATGAACGGCATCTATTGGATGAGTTAAATGAAAATGCAAACATTTTAAAAAATAATCGAATGGAAATTCAATAAGATTTAGGTGTTTGCTCTTTTATTGTTTTTTACATGGGGTCCATTACATATTGTAAAATAAAAAAATAAAAAATAAAAATAAAAAAAAAGTGCTCAAAACATATAACGAACACATTAAAATAAGAATAATAAGAATATTAATGGCAGAAGGAGTACTTGTTACAAACCACTATGACGTAGTTATCTAATATTGAAATTCACGCTTGTTTCAAGATATACAACTCTCTGTATGAAGTTAATCGCTAATAAGATGTTCCCACTAATCTCCCAATAACGATAAATGCGTTTATCCGTTACAATATCCGATCGTCTGCCCTTTTGGCTATATTAATATGATATATTATTCCGTTACACAAAAGTGGCATCCAACATGGGGTCCATTACATAAAACTACTATTGGACTCTAACGGGATGGTTAAAAGTATTATACTATCTCTTACACAAAATAATAATTTACTCAATGATGAATTCTTAGTAAATTTCAGGCAAATATCTTTGATCTCTGCATGATCTGTAGATATATATATCTCAATATAATTATAAAACTTATTATATTATGTATGACTATTAGTTTCCATTAAACGCCTTGTCTGAGATATTTTGCTCTTCTAAAAGATTAGACGAATGTGGTATAATTTGCCTTTTTCACGATTGTCTTTGCTGAAGACGAACGGGTGAGAGTTCCTTGCTGCGTTCATATGTTCCACGAAAATTTTTTTTAGTCTGCCTGAGCGGCGAAAGCATATAAGAATTGCTAGGCAAAATGGAAATCATTGCAAATCTCTTAGTTAATGTTTTATCGGAAATGAATTTTTATCTACGCAATTCTCTACTCTTTCCTGCTATGATCCGAACAAGGCTTTTGCAACGAGATAATTCCGATTCAATTGAACTCTAGGTATGACTTAAGCTATCACTTTAGCTTGGATAAAAAGTGATGAAATAAATTCTTCGCTTTAATGCAATGAGATCACATTTGATTTTCTGGGCAAAGACATAATTGCGATTTCATAACACTGCTAGGGGAAGTCTTAAACCCAATAACTTGACACAAGTCCTTTGTATGAGATTAGATTTTATTTATTCTCAAAATATTCTCATTTGGCGATAACGTTGATTGGTCAATCAACAAAGTAAATAAGTAAGTATATGCATGAAATCTCTTTGCTCTACTGTCACTCTTGCTCTCTTTCCCATTTCCTGCCCATTTCGTTGCGTAAGTAAATGCATGTATGGAAATTCAAATGCATGGAAGATAATATGAATGTATGGTGTGTAGTGGGCTGTGGTATGTTTGCGTACCTGTATTTCTATGTGTGCATGTACGTCCGTGTGTCTGGCTTATATCGCATAATATTCATAATTTTTTTGATTTTTTTTTGATGATTGTTTTTATCAAACATTTGCAATTTTCCCTTTCTACTATCAAATTAGAAGTAAGCGAATCGTTGTTATTTCTTTTACAAAAAAACAAGAAGCTAATTATATTCGATTGTAGCCGAAGAGAATTTGGAATACTCGCCGTTTCTTGTCTCAAGATAGAATGTAAAAATTTTTATTCTTTCTCTTCTTACTCTTAAATGTTAGCAACAGATGATTCGGCATGCTGTATTAGAAGAGCCTCAGCATGAATATGAAGTCCTTTGCCTAAGTCTTAATAAAATCTACAAACTTATAAAAGCCAATCTTTTGCTCTCCAGACGTCAGAAGTGTTCTTTGCACGGTTGAGGTGCCATTTCATTGCTTCGATTTATTTGCAATGCCAATCTGCAAATTGTTCCAACCAGTGTTTACTTTACATATTACATAGTTAGATGGTCGGATGTGCTTAAATCGCTTCAGAATTTGATATTGATCTAGAATATATATGCTTTCTACAGTCTCTAAAGCTTCATTCTTGGTGTTGCAAACGATTCGATAAAATCAATGTATCTCTCATCCATCGATGATGGCTACTAAAATTGCGACCAATGCGTTATTATCTTGGAGAAATATTTCAACAGGCGGACAAATGGTTAAGTGGACAGTAGTATGTGGTGCTTGCAAAAGCAGAAAAAGATTCCATATATGGTATTCCGATTTTCTTTATAAAAATGCTTATTATGCCAACTCGATGGGATATGTTTTTGTTTGAAATAAAAAAATCTCATGATACTTTACCCTCTCACTATCACTTTTTAAGAGTGCAAAATATACGCCTTCCTTAATAGCAAAAACAAAAAAAATTGTGTTGCATATGACCAGAGAGAGAATTTAATTATGGCGGCATTGCAGGAATTGTTTTTGATAACAATTTACGCTGATTGCAAATTGAAAGATGTTAAGGAAATTTGTTATTTTTCCTCTTTTTCTCTACTTCTTTTACTTGTTTGACGTGACATTCTTGTGGTATTTTTGGCACTTGCTTTGCACTTACAAAAAAAAAAAAATAGCTAAGAGTCTTTTTGCTGGCAAAAATTCGGTGAGTCGATGACACATTCACGATAAAGAAATCGACACGCAGTAGCGCACATAATTGTGGTATAGAGTAGAAAAAGTTTTTGCAGATGTACACGCAGAAGGAGTTGAGATGGACCCACTTTTTATTGCACTGATTAGAACCGTTTTCTACTAAATTTCGTAATTTTTGAATTATTTTGAGGAAATCGGTACATCAATGTATTTTGTCTCAAGGGTGTATGGCTACTGAAATTGATAGGGATCACACCACAATTTTGATTATTCCCCTAACTACGATGGAAGCTGATATGTCCGATCATATTTTGAAGCAGCAGGTTAAGCAATGTGTGAGGCCTGACGCATTAAATAATTAGAGATGCGTGATAGGCCTCGCCCTGTCCAGGGATAGGATTACACCTAAACTTTCACTCTGGTACCTAGTACTTGGAAAAGACGCTTTCTTCTGCAGCATTCTCTTGCCAGGCTAAGTAAGGGGTGCCCAACACAACTACATTAATTACTGGTGGTTCTAAGAAAGTCCTCTGATTAAGGTTTCACGCCATGTGTAGACATTAAACATCGATATAATCTCTAGTTTTACCCTTAAACATACCTCTGTACCTATAACCCTTCCCGCACACAACATTCCATGTATGACTGATATATGTATACGTATATGAAACAAGAAAAAAAAACCACAACAGCTTTTGTAATAAATTAAAACGGAACCCATTTTAGCTTATATCGTTGAGAGAAATACTTTTCTCTCTAATGCTTACTGTGCATGAACTGATTGTTATTATTGAAGTTCTATACGAGATGGATATTACTTTGTAGATAGATTGATGAACAAACTCTTTATTACTGCTTCTCTTCGTTACCTTTATAAATTATTTGTTGTGGACTACGGCTCTTCCAGTACAATGATGATGCTGTTAGTTCCGTAGTTGGATTTGCAGGCATGGTTACACCATTGTTCAGAAATTGCGATTGTAAGGAGGCGAAATTTGTCGATAAATCCGCATTCAAGTAATGATGCATTAATGATGCTGTAGGTGATTTGTAAATTTCATTAAATGCAAATGTGTTTTCATTATTGTTAGTGAACAATTGTTGATCTGTTGTTTGATAAGCGAAAGAGCGGCGAGCCGTGGCATCTACCTCATTAACGCTCAGATTATTAGTAAATATCGTATGATCTTTGAAATCTTTAAGATTTGGATCGCACCGTCGAGGCGTTATTATTGGTTCAGCGGCGGTTTGTTGATTATCGGAGGTTAAATGATTTCCTAAAATGCTTTCGATAGAAAAGGCCGAGCTCATTCGCTTAATCGCAGTCATTTGAAAATCTTTAACATTAATATTATTGCTTTCCGTTCTTGTCTTGTGTGTGTCTTTAATGCGCGCTGCTTTATTAACTAAATCAGTTGATTTTCATTAAATTTGTTAACAATTTTTCTCTTATTAAAATTAATCATATTGGCGTGATAAACAAATAAAATAATTAACACCAACAATAGTAATAAATCATTTCATTATCAAATGCTAAACAACTTAAAGAATCAAATCACCCCATATCCATATCGATAAATACACATGAAACCTTATACATATGCACAGAAAACGACGCTTAAGCAAATCATTGATTATATGAAAACAATAAATAAACCATATTTTCTATAATTTTGATAATAAAAATTTATTCTTCTATATAAAATTGAGTGTTGATAGACGTTGTTGTTGTTGTGTCGATGTTGTGGTCATTTAAAAAAAAAAAAAAAAATTTGATTACTTATAACATTTGGTTGCTTGATAACATATATAATATATCAATTCTTCTTAGCAGACGTTCCCTTGTAAGAAAAAAAAAAAAAAAACAAATACAATAATAGTTTTAAACAATTTCAGAACGGTGTGAAAATCTTATCCATCCATATCATCGGTATTTTGCCTTTGATCGATACATATTTCAACTACAGTTGTTAATCATTGTCAGCCTTCTTATGATAACACCTTTAATGCTTTAGGTGATGATAGCTGATATAATACATGCTTAAGCCCCAAATGAACCAAATTTTTCATATGGGAAATGATCGAAAAAGCAGACCGATCCGAACCATTTTCAATAGCACGCGCCCGCACGCCAGCATATCAGTGTACAAAAAGTTATCAAAATATCTCAAATATTGTGACCTCCAGCTTGAACGTAAATGTACATGGACAGACATCAGACCACTGGGCAGGCTTAGATCAATTCAAATTATGATTTTGAATCGATCGCAACGTCTACGAATTACATATGTGCGCAGCCATCATGGGGCCACGGAAGGATTAATTATTACCCAGTAGGTATAAAGCCTCAATGCATAACAATATTAAAATTTAAAATTCGGTTCAAATGCAGTTCAATTCAACTCGAATTGTACTGAAATTCATTCCAAACTTTACTGAAATCCAATTCAAAATGACTTCATATTTAGTTCCAAATCAATTGAAAGTCAAACCAAATTTGATTCAAATTTAATTCTATTAAAATTAAATTTAATCCATTTTAAATTCAATTTAAATTAATTTCAAATCAAATTCAATACAAGTTGAATCAAGTTCATACTTAATTCAAATACTATTCGAGTTCAATTGAATAAAATCGAAATCAATACTATTTCGATCCTATTCGAAAACAATTCAAATTCAAAACATAATCGATCCAATTCAAATTCATTCTAAACTCTATTGATATCTAATTCAAATTCAATTCAGGGTCAACTGCAACTCAAACTATATTCAATTGAATTAAATTCAAATTAATACAAGTTCAATTGAAATCTAATTCAATTCAAATTCAATGCAATATCGATCCAATTCAAATTCGTTCTAAACTCTATTGAAATCTCAATTCAATATCAATTCAAATTTAATTCAATTCAACTCAAATTCAAATGAAATTAAATTCAATTCAAATTCAATTCAAATGGATACAAGCTTAATTAAATTCTAATTCAATTCGAATTCAATGCAATAT